TTTTTTTTTTTTTTTTTTTAGCTTGCTATGTTTTTGATATCTATTAGACATCCAGGTAGGGATGTCAAGTAAACTGAGACTGGAGTTCAGGGAAAAGAACAGAGCCAGAGAGTGAGTTTGTACATTATTACTTGAGGGAGGAAGGGAGTCAGAGAGGGAAATACAGATGACTTTTAGAATGCTGTAGCAATATTGCCATGTGAGATTCATCCAATAAGGAAAATAAAACAGTGGTCTTTGAATGATATCCCAGTCATCAGATGATCCTTAAAAAAGGAATGCATCAGATGGCAAATTTTTTATCATTCTCCTTAAGGGATTCATTAAAGGGCTAAGCTAACCTGACTCTCTATTGATCAAAATTCCCAAATGATCTTCCTTCCTTTGAATTCCCTACTTACCTTTATTTACTCCTTGCTTTCAGTTTTCTGCCATGGTTTCTTATAGTTTGGTGTCTTGGAAAGAAGGTGTTGGGCAAATTCTCATTCACTGAAATATTTACATCATTCATATTGTTCGTTATACTGTCTAACATTGACTTGGGTTTATTATATGCTAGGTACTCTGCTAAGACCAGGTCTCAAATTTTCTTTTTTTCTTTTTTTAAGATTTACTTATTTATGCATACAAGAACTGGGGTACAGGCCAGAGGTTCAGGGGGTGAGAGGATTCACAGGGACAGAGTGGGGAGCATAACAAGCGATTGACTGAAATACACTACTGAGGGGAGCAGTGGGAGGGACAGGAGATGTTTGCCACATCATGTGGGTCATCTCCCTAGCCAGAGGATCGAACTCATGCTTTGGTGGCTTTGGGTAGCTTCATAATGCTACACTTTAACCTCTTGCATCACCAGGAAGGACCCTCAAATTTTCTTATTCATGGTACTGTTTTTCTCTGTACTCTATTCCTAGTGCCTCTAAACCAAAAGAAGTTCCTAATAGTTTCAATGTTAAGTAGTTGAGTCCAAACAGTTCAGTATTCATGTCCTAACAACTTGGTAGTCATTTGAAAAATCAATACACTAAGAATAAAAGAAAAATGATTTTGTCTAATTTTAAAAAATATTTCATTTATTTATGCATACAAGAGCTGGGGTGCAGGCCAGAGGTGACGGGGTGAAAGGATTCACCAGAGACAGAGTGGGGAACAGAATAGGCAGATCAACTGAAATACACTGCTGAGGGGAGCAGCGGATGAGACAGGCAAGATCTGCTGTGCCACGTGGGTCAGCTCCCTAGCTGGGGATTGAGCTTGTGCTTCCTGTTGTGGTGGCTGTGGATAGCCAGAGTGCTGAGACTTAATCCTTTTCACCATGGAGGGGCCCCATTTTTGCCTAATTTTTAAGTAACTGCAATTATTTACTGAAAGATTGTGCAACTTAATAAAGAGGGAATCATAATGTTACAAATGTTACTTGAGGTTCTCCATCAAGTATTAAAGAAATTCAAAGGCAAAGGTTGTATGAAATCAAAGGTTTCACATAATCACAGACTAGAATTCAGTCAGGTAATTTGTCTATCCCACATCCATTGTACACTTGGAGGTCACAAATAAAGCAGATTTTTCTGTTGTCTTACAAACGAAAATGCTTACTTACTGCTCTCATATATACTGCTATTCAATTACGTGGGCATTCCCCTCCCCCCACTCCCTTCTTACCACTTACTTAGATTCTTGCTTAGGGCTGTGTCGTTAGAATTTTTATTAATGTTATTTTAACACGTTTCTGTCATTAAAGCTTCCTTGAGTCATTATTTCCAAGATGGTTTCATATGCTTATTAATTATCTACTTTATATTCTTTGATTTAATTTAAATCATAAACTAATTCAAAAGGGAGTCATTTGCTCATAAAATGAGTGGAGCAAATGTGTCTTCTGGAAAATCATTAACCACAAGCCTCCCTGGAGTAGTCAGTGGTTTATTAACCATAGTTGGGATAGCTTAGAACTGACAATGTAATCAGATTCTAGGGGAATCTAGGTTTTCCCTTAGAACGTAGATTCAAATGTTCCCTGAATATTTGATCAGTTATTTTCTTTCTGTGCTCTTTAGTCATGACACTAATTCCATCTTCTTCCTGCATTGTGTCTTGGATGCTGCAGTATTTAGCATAAGTGAGCCGTTGTGTTTTTGGTAAAATGTGATTTTCATGCTTTGCTGTTCCTACATGGATCACATCATTTATACTAAATTCTTCCATGCAGTACCAGTAGCAAAGATAGATTCATGAAGAACCTGAGGAACTGAAGCTTCTGAGTCTCTTACTTTCATGCACTTTGTGAATGCTAGGGGTAGAACGTTCTAGGTGGAGAGGGGAAATTAGATCACCACCAAAAAGTGCCTCTTTGTGAGCATTTCTGGGCAGCTGCCTAAAGACAATTTCAGCAGAAAGGGACCTGAATCTCCACACCTCCAGTTACATATTGTGAATTTCTTTAAATGCCAATGAACTATTCCTTTGTCCAACTTGAATTTGTAATTTGATCTTCTTAAAAGGGAACCCTCCAAACAACTTAAACCTCCAGACCCAGAAAGCTTAGAACTGCCCCTGGTTGGCATTGTTTTAACAAGGGGACTCGATTTCTGAATGTAATCTTTTTATTTTTTCAGATAATTTTTGAAGCCATTAGGGGAGTATCAATAAGAAGCGATATTGCCATTGATGATATTAAATTTCAAGCAGGGCACTGTGCAGGTAACAATGTCTCCCGATTATATAAACTTTAGTGACAAGGGATTTTGTGATAGTCTCAAATCATAAGAATGCAAATTATATATTTTTCTATGATAAACATAGAGATAATTTTATCTATTTTTCCTGACAGAAATAGAAGATACAACTCAACAATCATCAGGATATTCTGAGGAGTTGAATGAAATTGAATATTAAGAAATAATCTGAATTGGATTGATAATCGAATAAAACTCATACCTCTCTTCAATCAAAAATGAAAACAGACAAGTTAATACTGTACAGTCAGCCATTTCATACATTATAAAATGACTTAAGAGCACTCTTCTTCACAACTTATGCAAAAAATACTAACTCAGGGCTTTTTTATTTCTTTTTGCATATGACAACTGTTACTGGAAGTACAGGCTACTAGTTTTGCATAGGTCATTCGTTTTAATTAAAGTAATGGTAAAAAGTACGAATGTGCAATATTGTAGTGATTTTGAAGTATGCAAATTAAGGGCACAATCAAAATTAGGATGTGCTCACTTAAATCTGCATTCAGTGAATGTATTGGAGAAGAATAGTTCTTGTGGGTTTCCTTTTGAATTTTAAGTATTGTAAATATTTTCAAAGTAATAATGTGAGGTGTCAGTAATATCTGTAGAATGAATGCAGCTTTCATGTTAACAAGGTAGTCTAAGAAAGTAAAGTATTATTTTCTATGTTTTATCCATAGTAATAGAGCATTAATTTCAAAATAGTTTTATCATGTGATAATAAGAATCTTTCATAAGTATCCCAGGTAAGTCAGTATTAATTAATGCTGTATTACAAAGCAATGCTATCTTTTTCCTTTAGACAATCACTATGAACACATGAATAGAAATGACACTCCTTTTGTAAAGCAAGCTTGAAAATATTGTATGTATGCATACTAAATTCTAGAATATATTAAACAATTTTGCTGATTTTTATAATAACTGTTTTGTTAAACTTTTGATAATATGAATTACAGCAGATCTACTAAACTACTACTTTTTATTTACATGTCTAAAAAAATTTCATATACATGTATGTATACCCAAATAACTACTATGAAGTTGTAAGATTACCTAATAAACGTTAGAAATCTTTTTACTGGCAATTAATTTATTTATACATGGCTTTTCTTTATCAAAATATCTTCACTGTAAAACTGCATATTGACTCTATTTTGAAATTCTATTCTGCCACAATTCTTCTGAAGCCTTTCATTAATGATGTAAACACTGCATACAATGATATAAGAATTTTTTAAAGTAGTTTATTTCACATAAACAAGTTTTAACTCATTAAAATGTAAACTCTATCAGGATAAGGATTCTTGTCTATTTAGTACTTTTGTCTGTTATATAATAGGTGCTCAACAAATAAATACTTGTCAGATGAATTAATTTATTAATTAAACCCTTTTTATAGATATAGATACAGGCTTCAGAGAATGAAGAACTACTTAAGATTCCACAGCTGTTAAGTGATGGAACTTAGTTTCTCTGATCCCAAAAACCTAAGTCATTTCTGTTCATGATTTACAAAGAGTTGAAACATTGGGGATGGAAGATTTAAAAATAGTATCCAATTTAATAATAGATTAGATATTATAATTTCTTCAGAGCACTGTTCTTCTATCTAACTTAATTATTTTGCTAAGTAAAGAAACTAAGAGTATGTCCAGTATCCAGTACAAGATCCTGTACTTGCAAAGGGTTTACAGGGTGTGGTGTATGAATGAAGCCATTTATCAGCTTATTAATACTCACAGCTAAAATTATTGATTACTTAGTATTCTCAGGCAGTGTTCAAAAAAGATTTAGAGAATTTGCTATTTAATTATAAGACACATGAGTGTCTTATAATTAAATAGCATTTTTAAATAGGGAAATTATCAGTCCAAGTTCAGGAGCTAACATAGGACTTAGGTTTGAACCTGGGTTGGTTTCATTGCCAAAACTATGCCTTCATCCTTACAATACTACTCCAGAAATGGCCAGCTTTCCTCCTAGTGTCAACCCCAATATCAGCTTGATATAGTTGAAGGATCCAAATTTCTCGGCCTCAAGAGGATCTATTGGCTACCAAAATTGCCTCAGATGTTGACGAATGAGAAATACAAATTGGGACACCAGCTTTAATTGAGGTGGGTCAGCAAGGTGAAGGTTGGAGTGCTTATCTGGTGACTTGGGGAAAGTAATTATTACCAATTGGTGCTAAGAAAACAGTCTAATGTTCATATAAAAGAAAAAGGTGAGTGGATTAATTTTTTGTCTCTGCTTTCTGCTCTTGAAGGTTTCACTTTTTGAATGCTTCTCTTTCTTTTCCAGGTTGCCCTTGGCATTCATTTAAACTACATTTCACCTGGATGAATGGAAAGTAAGTGAAATAGTTTTCCCATAAAAGCCCGGGAGGAAGTTACACTTGCTGATAGGTACTGCTGATCAATGTAAGCCCAGTGCTTGCTTTTATTCTAAGTCTTAACCTAAACACACAAGTGCTTCAGCTAGCACCTACTTTCTCACACAAATTCTCCTCTCCTATACTTTGCTGTCTGGGGTGGAGGTTATTTGTGCACAGAAGGGAGTAGGGAGAGGATTGTTGCTCTGATGCTAGGTCTGTCTCAATTTAGAAGAAAAGTTTCAGTAAAAATTTCTTGAAACTCTATGCTTCTGGAATTATCCAAGCATGGAAGTTATAAAGTTAGGAAAACAGAGAGGCCATATGCCCAGGGAGGATCTAGAATGGACATCTGGCCTAGAGAGGCAGCCCCCAGTTCTCATCTGAGCAGAACAGTGAGAACCAGCAGAGACACCCCTATTTTCCTGGTGTCTCATGCTTTCTAACACTCTCTAAGAGCTAAGCGGCTAAGACATGACTGTACTTTTCACTCCCATGCACTCGATATGGTTTCCCATGTGATTTTAATCAGAACTGTGGGGAGGTAGGGGTGGGAAATGGGTTTCCTATGTGATCAGTCTAATGTTGTATTTTCAACATAAGGGTTATGAGAAAGAGGTGAGCCAGCATGCAGGCTGTCCCAGTTTAAATTCTAACTGCCACTTATAAGCTTTGTGACTCAGGGCAAGTCATTAACATCCTTTCTGATTTTTATTCGTAGTCTGCAATATGCAGCAAATACTCGCCTCTACTTTGTAAGTTTGCTATAGAGATTAAATGAAAATAATACATACAAGGATTTAAAGCAGCATCTGACTGACAAAAGGCATTCCAGTTTCTATTCTGAGTTTTGAGTGAAATTTTGGGATAAATTGATGTTATTTTTATGTAGTCTTTTTCTATAGAGGAATTGTGAGTATAGAGTGCCATCTTAAGGATAAAACAACCATCTAAGCTTGTCATTTTATCCTCTTTTTTTCTTTATTGCTAGCAATACAAGAATTATTTTAACACACAACTGGGCAGTGCTTTCCCTTTGCTCTTCCTACTCCGATTACAATTAATGGTTCTTCTGTGTTGTTAACCTTGTGTACATACCCTAGAAAATTTATCATGCTGAGCCTAAATTGCTATTTTTTATGTCCCTTTCCTCCAACATTGTCATTTATTCAATGTTATACCCCTGGTGCCTAGCATACTCAATATTTCTATATTAAATAAGCACTGCTCCACAAAATCACTTGGATTAGTACAAATAGATGTTTGTGCTCCAAAATTGTCAGGATTCTCTTTGGCCCATCAACATTTCATCAGTTCTTTTTAATTATCTGTCAGAACTTTACTCTCTCCAATACTCCTACCTACTAACATTTCATAAAACACCAAGCTACACATGTATGTGAATACTTGCATATATTGAATATTTTTAACACTTTACAAAGGAAATAATTATATATGTTTTCATCTGTGATTTGTCTTTTTTGCTCAAAAGTGTGTTTTTTAGACTTGGCCATGTTGAATTTCTAGCTGTAATAAATTCATTTTCACTTCGGTAGGTATTCCATTAAATGATTATACTGCTATTTATTATTCCATTCTATCACTGATGAATATTTGGGTCATTGCTAATGTTGAACTACTGTGAACTCTGCTACAAAAGTATTCTTGTACAGATAACAATGTGAGTGAATTTCTCATTGCATATGTAACTTCTGAATTGCTGGTTTGTGCAATACATATACCTCACTAATTGATAAATAAACTGCTTTCTAATTGACTGCATTAATCCATACCATGTAGAGCATGCCAGAGCTTGCTAGTGTCAAATTTTAATTTTTAACATCTGATTGTTGTGAATTTGTATTTCACTGGTTTTGAATTTGCATTCCTCTGATTTTAAATTAATGTTTTATGACCACTCATGTTTCATAAAGAACACAAATGAAACATTTGTGTAAAATGCCCACATATATGTATATAATAAGCGATTTATCTTTTTCTTACTGATTCATGGGACTTCTCTAACACCCCAGGTCTTATACTTCTGTTTGTTTTAAATGTTACAAATATCTTTTACATTATAGCTTGTGCCTTGTTTCCTCCTGCTTATGGTGAATTTGATTAATGAAAGCCTTAGGTTTTAATTTGTATGTGAATTTATGCATAGTTATTTATGACTTATTATTTAACTTTTTTAAAAAAAAAAAAAGCTTTCTTACTCTTAATGGGAATTAAGTAAAACAACTTCCTGACTTTAAAGTAATTCCCATGTAGTTTCATCTAAAAACATTGAAGCTTTGTCTATTGCCTTTCGATCTTAGAATCATATGGAATTATATTTAGTAAACTTGCTATTACTTCTCAGATCAGACTGTGTTTGCATTAGTTTCCTACTGCTTCTGTATCAAATCACCACAGAACAAAACATTTACTATCTTAAAATTCACGAAGTCAAATTGTGTCATTCTAAATGAGGCTAATATCAAGGTGTCTGGAGGGCTGTGTTCCTCTTGGACGCTATGGGTGAGGGAAGCCATTTATTGCCTTTTCCAACTTTTAGAGGCATCCCTGGACCCTGGTGCTCTTCCAGCTGTATCATCACTCCAATTTGCTTCACTGTCACATCTCTGACTCTGACTGGCCTGTCTCCTCTTAAAAAACACTTCTGGCTGCATTGGGTCCAGCTGGATGATCCAGGCCACTCAGCCTATTTCAAGAGCTTTGCTTAATCATAGCTCAAAGTTCCTTTTGCCATGTTAATCAACATTCACAAATTTCAGGGTTTAGGATGTGGACTTCTTTGGGGAGCCACAGTTTGCTTAATAAGGCCAATTTTGGCTTCTTCTTTTCTTTCTTTTCCTTGCTCTGCTTTCTTAATTTTCTTTGAAAAAAAAATACCCAATATAGTTAGTGCTCATTAGAAGTACTGAGATTATCAGCCTTTACTTGTTCCAGAACTTAGGAGAACATTTCTAAATTTTTCATCATAAGATTTTTGGAATTGTATTGGCTAAAGGAATTCTTTCCCCTGCTTTACTAGAAATTTTACCTATAAACATATATTGAAAATAGTTAAAAGTTCTGGATGCATTACCTTACACCTATATATAGCTTTTTTTTTTTTTAAAGATTTATTTATTTGTGCATACAGAACTGGGGTACAGGCCAGAGGCTCAGGAGCGGCGAGAGGCTTCACCAGAGACAGAGTGGGGAACAGAAGAGGCAGATCTACGAAGTACACTGCTGAGGGGAGCAGCGGGCGGGTCAGGAGAGGTCTGCCACACCATGTGGTCACCTCCGGGGCAGGCGGGAATTGAACTCATGCGGAAGCGGCTTTAGATTCTCAGTGTTGTGCTTTAACCCACTGCGCCACCAGGGAGGGCCTATATAGCTTTTTAACATAAAGAATCACATAAGCTGATTTGATTTTCTAGTGTTTAATCAACCTTGAATTCCTACCAAATTAGATCAAGTAAACCAAATTAGATCATACATTCTTTTTTTTTTTAGCATTGTTAGATATTTGCATATACATGTTCATGAGTCAATTTGACAGAAAATTTTCATTTTTTAAAATTTCCTTAGAAATTAGTGATTTTAGATAAAATAAAATGTAGGGTCATAAGAGGAATTATAAGAGTGTTTCTTCTTTTTCTCTAGTCAATGGGTGGCATTAGAGTAATGACTCTC